GCTTCAGTGAGACATATAGTTTTGAGGAAGCTGCTGCTGACTCCTCGGGAGACAGCAGTCACAAGTGCTTCAGTGAGACATATAGTTTTGAAGAAGCTGCTACTGCTGACGGGTCATTTTGAAGGCCAGGAGCCACGAGAGGTCTTGGGTGCTCAGTTTGCCCGCCGATTTCAGGACTCTGCGTCGTTTTTTCTCCCGGCGCAGAGCTGAAACAAAAAGATTGAAAGTACAAGTGGTGCGATGCAGGTGCAATGCAGCTTCACCAAAAAAAACCTGAGATGGGAAAGATGAAGGTGCAAGTGGCATGATGGAATGTCAATACAGCTTCACCAACACAAACATGGCACACAAGGATGAAATTGAACCAGCCTGGGCCTTGACTTCTCGACTGGTTTGCTGCAGCTGGCGTTTCAAGGCCTGCCTTTCAGCTTTCAAAGCAGCTATACGGTCATCCATCCCGGGCACATGGGCTACAGCAGCACCTTCCGCAGCATCCCTTTCCATACCAGCGGCGGCAGACGACATGGCTATAGATATAGTCAAATTGTGTTTTCTGCGACGAGCTGTGAGCCGTGCTAGCTGCAGAAGCCATGCCGTCTGGACAGCTTCCATGCCAATTTTCTCAAACTGCACAACTGGAAGATAGTGTGACAAAACATGGCCGGTGGGGGCCCAAAACTGGGGGCTTGAAAAGTGATGCCAAAGGGACTCCCGTACCATGTACCCCCATAGTATTATGGAAAAAAAATCTTTGTCCTATAGTGCCACCCACGTCTGCAAATCTGTTGGATCCACCCGGAGCGGCAGCATCAAAGAAAAAGAACCTTATACGCGTGCGCCATTTGGCGTCGCGCTGGCCAAACGCATTGCATCTGCTGGGGTGTCGGCCTGTCAGGCCCAGGCCAAGGCACCCCTGCACCCATCAAGTGTTGAAGCGCTTTGTGCACTTGACCTGGGCCATTGCAGCCCACTGCATCGAAGCTTTTCTGCCATTGCCGAGCTGCCCAAAATTCGTGAGGGGCTTGCATGCACTGCCATAGCCAGGCCAGAGGAGGCACTAAACCATGCTCTGAATATGAGCGCAACTCCTGGTGCTTCCTTTTCAAATATTGTTTAAAAGGGGAGAAGCCTTGCAGATCAAGCGGCTGTAGGTAATCCGTTGTCTGCGCTGGGATATATACAAGCTGCAGCTTGCACTTGCGTGCCATTGCCATGACCTGCCGTGGCAGGTGTGCCGGCGCACAATCAAGGAGTACAACGCCTTGTTTTGACGGAAAACTTTTCAGCACTTCTGCGATCTCTTTGAGAATTTGGGCACTGTTGGCAGCAGAGGTCCAAGCGGACTTTTGCCGCAAAACACGCAAACGAGTTTGTGGCAAAGCGCGCTGGGCGCGCAAGAGCTTCTTCGTGAGTTTCACCTGGGTGCCAATGAAAAAATGAGGCAACTTCCCTTGGATGTGCTTGCAGTTGCAAATCACGCTGACATAAGTAAGTCCACGCACCTCGAACATGTTGCTTCAGCACCTGTGCATGCGGCTGTTTGCCACCTGCTGTCCGTGGCTTTGCCACACATCCAATAGGCGGTGTCATGGTGTGGCCGACGCTAGTCTCATCCAGATTTATAAAAAGTAGCTCCCTGTCTGCGAACCTGCTGTGGCAATAGCAGATGGTCCGCCAAAATGTCATGACCTGCTCGAGCGTTGCAGGAAGTGAAAGACAAAGCCTTATTATATATAGGGTCCCCAAATATAATTCCGAGGGAAGAAATTGATTGAAAATGGGGGCCTATTTTTGGTGCCAGATTCTGGCCCCAAAAATGGGACCGCCCAACCGGGATTAAGTAGGCTTATACAGGCATGAAACATGAGGGGGACCCATTTTTGGGGCCACATTCCGGCCCCAAAAATGGAGCCACCCAACCCAAAAAAAGAAGACAAAATGTTGTAAGTTGGCTGGCCCGCGCCTTGTCGCGCAGTACAGCGGGGTCTCTGCTAACAACTTGCTTCAGCACCTTCCGGCGGACGCCCCACCGAGCCCGCCAGCGCTGCACCCACTTATTGACCATGCGTTTGTTTGGCACACCCATGTCCAGCTTCTGGCCATGGAAGGCCTCCTCCCACTTCAAAAACGTGTCCATCGCAGAAGGTGCTTGACAATGATTCGTATTGCAGTCATAGACCCACTGCTCCGTGGCTGCTTCGGCCAGGAAGGCTTGCGCTTTGCGTGAAGCTGTGTCATCCAAAGCGGTCAAATCTGGCAGCGGCGTCGTCAGCAACATCTCTTGGATCAAAGCTGCCGTGGGTACCCATTGCTGCCATAGGATATCGTTGTCAAAGCACAAGCCATGCGGAGAGTCAAATCCATGTTAAAATTCGACAGCATGTAAACAGCTACCACAGTTTTGCGGGCTGCCACTCCAAGGCCGGCACAGTGCAACCTTTTCCGTTTTTTGGCATTCTGCCGATAAGCCGCTTTCAGTGCTTTGCCGTTCTGCACCAAGGCTTCCTTCAAGTCTGACACCCTGGCATCAGATGTGCCTTCGGCCACACCACAGGGCGGCTGCATGACTGACCGCAGAAAAACTATCTGTCGGCAGACTCATTGAAAACATTCGTGTCATGTCAAACCAATGCTGTCTGATACAGCTGAATTCGAAGGGAAGCAAGGAAGATGACCTAATGAGTGCGGCCAAAGCATGGCCTCGGCATTTCAAAGCATACAAATTCATGTCTGGCTCATGCAAAAAACAAAAACTATATTGCTGTTGCATGCAGTCAGCGCGGCAAGACTTGATTCATATGGCTGCGTCCAGGAAAAAACATCGAGGAGAGGCGACCTGTGAGGAGCAGGCAAGACCGAACAATGATGATGAGCCGTCCAATCATGTGGGTTTGTGTTATGACACTGTTATGGAAAATACACTGGTTATGGAAAATACACTGCTGGTTATCTCTCCACATCATGCAGGTTTGTGTTGTCACAAGGAGGGCCCTCAATGAAGAGGGCTGAAATCAGCGTCCGTTAGCGACCCCAAATTCAGACCTTTTGCACACACAGCACGAGGCCCCACGTATAGGGTCACAGCAGCGGCTCCCCCCCCGCACCCCCAGGATCAATGTTGTTTCCTGGTGTTAATCACTGTAGCAGCCAACTTCCAAAGCGTCAGGTCTTCACAGCAAGACATTTTCGTCAACCTTGATTCCGGGGGGTGCAGGGGGGGGCCGCATGTGGCCGGAAAGGCCCTTTGAATTAGGAAGAAACACATGTGCCGTCACGGCAGGTGGCCCATCACAGCTGCAAGATGAAATGCTTCACTGGCCGTTGGCGATGTCAATCTTTGCATTGGCTCCACTGCAACACTAGCATGCTTCGGCGTGAAACTACTAAGCACGATGTCACAACTTTATATTGGCTCTGCCGCAAAACTACTATGCTTCTGTGTGAAAACTACTAAGGGGAATTTCAAACTTTGTATTGGCTCGGTGGCAAAACTACTAAGGAATTGTTCAATGGACAAAAAAGGAAACACTTTCTCCTATTTCTTTTCAATTGGCAGAATTCCTTAGTAGTTTTGCGTCCAAGTCATTGTGATTTCAATTTCACGGGTTAGTAGTTTTTCATGCGTGCATGAGCTGTGACTCTGCCGTGCCAATGCAAAGTCTGCGAAAATGGTTGGAAGTATCCTTAGTAGTTTTTTGGTGCCACAGCAAAAACAGGTGCCAAAGCACGCAAAAACGTGTTTTTGATGCCTTGGGAGACAGCAGTCGTTAGGTAACCTGCCGCGTGTGACTTCACCACATTCCTGTCTGACTCCTTTAGAGACAGCAGTCTCAAGTGCTTCAGTGAGACATATAGTTTTGAGGAAGCTGCTGCTGACTCCTCGGGAGACAGCAATCACAAGTGCTTCAGTGAGACATATAGTTTTGAAGAAGCTGCTACTGCTGACGGGTCTTTTTGAAGGCCAGGAGCCACGAGAGGTCTTGGGTGCTCAGTTTGCCCGCCGATTTCAGGACTCTGCGTCGTTTTTTCTCCTGGCGCAGAGCTGAAACAAAAAGATTGAAAGTACAAGTGGTGCGATGCAGGTGCAATGCAGCTTCACCAAAAAAAAACCTGAGATGGGAAAGATGAAGGTGCAAGTGGCACGATGGAATGTCAATACAGCTTCACCAACACAAACATGGCACACAAGGATGAAATTGAACCAGCCTGGGCCTTGACTTCTCGACTGGTTTGCTGCAGCTGGCGTTTCAAGGCCTGCCTTTCAGCTTTCAAAGCAGCTATACGGTCATCCATCCCGGGCACATGGGCTACAGCAGCACCTTCCGCAGCATCCCTTTCCATACCAGCGGCGGCAGACGACATGGCTATAGATATAGTCAAATTGTGTTTTCTGCGACGAGCTGTGAGCCGTGCTAGCTGCAGAAGCCATGCCGTCTGGACAGCTTCCATGCCAATTTTGGAAGATAGTGTGACAAAACATGGCCGGTGGGGGCCCAAAACTGGGGGCTTGAAAAGTGATGCCAAAGGGACTCCCGTACCATGTACCCCCATAGTAAAGTAATTTTTTTTGCTGTTGATTGCCGGAACCTGCTTTTGACGTGCGGCAGTGTCAGGCCACCTTTGACCATGTGCTGTCGTATGCCTCGATCTACCACTTGGAGAAGGACGAGCAGTGCCACTTGGGGCAGCTATATTTGCCGGGGGCAGTGCCATTGCCGACAAAAACGGGAAAATTGAGGTCAAAGGCATAGCAACGCCAGCGCTTGATGCTGTTTGTGTTGGAAAGAGCCACCCGCGGGATTTCAATCAGCTCCGAACATGTCGTGCACCTTGCTAGTTGTTGTTTGCACGGCATAATTTCCATGTTCCTGCCTATGTAATGAATGGATATGAATGGAACGTTAATCACCAACAAATCGCGTAATAACATAATATATCCCTGCCATTAACCAGGAGGGTGATTTAGAGCGTGTGAAACCCACGCCCTGATCATCAAATCCATGCCGCGGAAGGCGTGGTTACACCCAGGCAGCGTTGGCATCCAGCTGGTGCGCAAGCTGAAGATCGGAGGTCGCGCCTTCCTGGGCTGGAACCATGGCCCAGTGACATGGCCCTAATGGGAAGGATGGCCATGTGATGGGTGAAAATGTTTTGTTCGTTTTCCCGTAGATTGAACCAACCCCCTGAAAACTGGGAATGGGGCATCTCATCTTACCAAGTTTGGATGCTTAAGTTGGTAGGTAGAGAAGTCTTCGTGGTGTGGCTTGGGCTGTGGAAATCGAAAGATTTTCGAAAGATTTCCAACTTAATGCGTGTTCTCTTGGGGCCATGGTTTTGCTAGGGTTTTTGAGAGGTACCTGACCGTGATACACGACCAACAGGCCAGGATGTTTTCTTGTAGCCTTGGTGTGCCAACCCATCACGCCATGGCTATTGGGCGGGACGGCTCAGGTAATGAGCAACTGGGAGTGGTTGATGTGCTTCGAAGATAGCATCAGCCTCAGCATGCTGAGCACATGGGTTTGCTAGAAGCTCCTACTTATGGCCACCCCAGCTGGCCGCATACTCAGAAGAAAATTGTGATAAACCATAGCGAAGCAACGGTTTTGAGGTAAGATATTCGCAGACATACCCATTGAAGTGGAGTAGAAATAAGTGAAGCAGTCAACCACACACAGTACCATTGCACAACCCACATGTAGCGACATGTGACAACCATCCACTCCTCCGCCAGACCAGACTTTTGGCACCTTTCAAATTTGCAATGTCCTCAGGCCAAAACATTGCCAAAACGAATGGCATCGCTGAAAGCGGCGTGAAAGTTGACTTTGACGCTGTTACTTGACTTGGGGATTTGGATGGTGCCACTGTTTTTGCTGGGCTTCTCTTGGCATCAATGAGTCTATGGGAAAACTCCACAGCAACTGCTACTGTACAACTGGACACTGGTGAGAGTTTTTGGGCTCAAGAAGATATGAATGAACAAATACATGGCCACATCTAATCTAACGCAGTCTTTTTTCAGATCTTTGCCGAACGCAGTGTTTACCAAGGTTGAAGATGGATACCTCTTTCCCCCACATACCAAGGTGCTGGAGGACCTTTTTGATGTCGGGTCTGTGATCCAATGTTCCTTTGATGTTCCCCACATGCCTTTCAGATTCTTCAGTCCATGGGTGCGATCGTTTGAGCTAGGTTTGTTGCCCATGTATGGTAGGAGGTGATCAAACCATAGCTGTAGTTACATCGCCAGCTTGATTTTTCTGAATAATTTCAGGAAATCTTGACACCAATGTGCCTGCTTGCAGGACAAGAGGTCGTTCCTGTACCAATACCCAGCCTATTCCATTTTCTTGACTCGGCTGGCGTGAGTCGTGGAATGTGACTTACACTGTATACATAGACCCTACTCAGGTGCGATGAGGATAGTGAGAACTCGCCACAGAACACTGTGGTTTGCCAAGCAATTTTGGAAGTGTGGGATGATGGACCAACTTCTTTATTTGAGTGTGCATCCCTCGGCATCTGGTCGGAAGATATTCGAACCAGTGGTTTGAACAGATGCAAAAACACTAGGGTGCAGGTTATCACCTCACACATCCAGAGGTGTTTGGCCGGCAAGAATAAACAAGAGTGGGCCTGTTTGCCAGGTTTGGTAGAATGTCAGCCCGAGCAAACCAATCAGAGCCTTGTCGGTTCAAAAGGTGTTTGGTTTCGTGGGCCTGACTGAGATGCCCTGGAGTGCCCAAAGTGGTCGGAATTCAACGATGTTTGTTTGTTTTCCGCCTCACATGTTGGTTCAAACCTAAAAAACGGAATGAAACATATGTTCCCCAAGATACCGTCACTTGAATTCAACAATTTTATTCAACTGCGCAAAACTCACCAATCCATTTCTCCAATATCCATTTGCTCAAAGTCATTTTCCAAGTTTGCCCCCCAAACCCCCCAACCTTCCCCAACAGAACCATGTAAAAAGGTACATGTCAACAGACGCATCCGGGCGCCAGGCCGACCTGGTCCTGGGCTGCGACGGCATCCGCTCGGCGGTGCGGCAGGCGCTGCGGACGGCGGGGGCAGACGTCGAGCAGCAGCGCTTTGCGGCGCCTTGGTGGTAGGTGGGATGGCACCATAACAGCCATGTAAAGTGTATTTTTTTGATGATGAGTAATCTGAGTGGTAATGGTGGAAATCTGGATGTTTGGTTAAAATATGGATGAGCACTTGTGATAATTTGTCGGGGGTAAGTGGACGTTGGACCTGCAGGAGATTGGGAGATGATCAACGTATGGTGGGCATATGGGATTTGTTGGGATGGGGGAAGTTGGAGCTGGCAGGTTCGTGACAAACCCAGGGCAAGGATACACTCAACAACTGTTGTTCTAATGTGAGAAAGATTTTTAACTGTAGTCACCGTAGTCAAACGTTTTTTTTAGTCAAAGAGTAGCGGGGTTTAGGAGAGCCTCAAAAATAAGGGTTTGAACTTTGAACACCAAGGGTTGGTTCTGAGCTGTTTATTTCATGGGTCCATTCAACGAACCTTAGCTGTTGGAGGTTTTGTCATGATTAGGCAGATGGTTGGGAATGTTTTGTAGCTAAGCCAACAGGGGTCGGTCCCTTGCAGTCATCGACCCGAGGATCGGCGCCCCATCGTCTACCGGGTCTTGGCCATTCCGACGGGCAAGGATGACAGTACTGAGTTGAATTACAGTGTCCGGAAGGACAATGCGCCCTCGCCTGAATGACGGTTGCTGTTGAGGTCGTGCCCTGTCGCCCCAATTACCAATGCGCAGAAAAAAAGTAGAGACAGTTTCTGAAGTCAACCTGGCAGAATGACATGAATCCTGTCACAGGAACTTAATCCGCAACATAGCATTGGAACCCGAAGTCAGCCGACCCCAATGCCTGCAGTTTCACTCCTGCCTTGCAGAGACGATCATATAATATCTTACATGATCAGTTGTGATGGCATACTACAACCAGATCCAAACCATTTTGATCTTCCTATAATCTATGCCCCCTTCTGCATTTAGCTATAGTCCCTATATAACAACAAACAAATACAAGAAACCTATATGTAAAATTATGTGGTGCCCCCTACCTGGTAACGAATCCCAGCCCTCGATATAAGAACATATGAGAACCCCTTTGTAATGTTTTTGAAAACGGATTGAAACCCATTTGTTGGGATTTGGGACTACCACAAGGCCATTTTTGACACCCATGTAGCGCAGAATTCTTGAATGGCTATAGTTTGTCAGGTTATAGAAAGTTGATTGCGTGAATCATGTTGCCACAAATTGGGTGTTTTACTGGTTTACCATTTTTTACCACCCAACCATTCTTTTGCTGGACATCCATAACATTCCCCATCCCCCGCATCCCACGGCTGAGGTGATCGTGGAGGCGCTGCCCAACGTGGAGGGCAACCTGCTGGGCGTGGTCCTGTTCCGCCCTACGGACGAACGTATCGAGGGCTTGAAGTCAGGAGACCACTGTGGTTGGGGTCGTGGATTTGGTTTCTGGGGGTAATAGGTGGTGCCCCATAGATAGATTGGTTTATATCTCATAATTAGGGTTATGGTAGATATTTATAGTTTCTATATGGTTTAGAAACAAACTTATAACTGGGGGGGACACCACTTTGTAGGATAATTTGTTTGGGGAAATTCATGGGAGTTCTCCCCCAACATTCATTATGTCATTGATTGTTTGTGGGAGGGATCGAACGTCGTTCAAAGCTGGCAGCAGACATGGCTGTAATATGCTGTAATATGATCCCAAGAAATGGTGACAGCTGGATTTTTTGAAAACTGGATGTGATTTGGAAGAAGATTTTCCAGAATGTACCCTCTGGTAATTTAACAACACCGTGGAAAATGACCATTTATAGTGGACTTTCCCATGAAAAATGGTGATTTTCCATAGTTAAGTTATGTTAGTTTACCAGACGGTAATGATGGGTTTTCTTTTGCCATTGTAGTGTGTGGTAGCGCCGGGAGTCTCAATATTTGCCCCCTTCAAACAAAGCAATGCTTCAAGCAGCCTGCATCCACTGCACCAGCTGCGTCTATATTTCTCCAGGAGCTGAAGCCAAGAAAATTTTCGAGGACGGAAGTGTGGTTGCCAGTTTTTGGTGTGTCAACGATTGCATGGCTTCAAATATTGATGCACAGCATGATGCACATTTGTGTTGTCTGCATGGTTTTGGGAGAAAGTCATGTTCTTCTAATTAATCAACGAGACACAACTCACACAAACTCATGTTGCTGGCCAGTAGTGAAGCAGTCCTGTTCAAAGTTTGTTCAGGAGCTTTTTCCTGACTGGCCAACACCCATGATCAGCGATCAAGAGTGTGCACCTCAATTGCTCACAAAAATCGGAAAGACAAATAAGACAACCACCCCAAACAAAATCACATATGATTCAAACAACCGCCAGGAGCCAGGCCCCCCGTCTGTGACAAATTGACGTTTAGCATTGATCATTGGAGAAAAAAACATGTTGTTTTGAGGGAATGTATCTGCATTTTTTTTTCAAGATGGCCACCTTGACTTTCACAGTGGTAGCAAGAACCCTCCCAGCCTAGGTGGGAGAATTTCGCGGCTCGAAAGACGCGGCAACTGCCGCAGTTCGCCTACACGGGGCCGGAGCTGAACCTAGGTGCCAGCTGCAGGGGGAGGGGCTGCAGGTCATTTGCGGGTATTTGTTTAGCTAGTTTTGGTGTAGACTTGGCAAAATCTCATGATATCTCATGTCTTGTTTTGGGGTAGGTAATTCGATGTCCTTTCCCCACTGGTTGGTGGATGAGAGAAGAGGGATATTCCACCTGTTTCACCCCCACTATGGGTAAGTATGAGATATTATGAGTGGTTCAGATCGCTGGATACACATCTTGTCCAGCTTAAAAACTTTTAATTTTGACCCATTTTGCCATCCGCCCACAGGTGGCAAGTGTTGTCTCTTGGGTGATGCGATCCACTCGGTGAAGCCCTTCTTTGGTTCCTCGCATGATTGGTGGGTTGGTATGTGATTGGTTGCTTACAACATCCCGTAACTTTGTGAATCGTTAAAGGGTCACACCAAGCGTTGCAAACTATTGAGTGTCTAGAAACTGCAGCGAAGTTCGCAACTAACTTGGGTTGGAAGAATTGGGGCACCCTAGTTCTCTAGTTGATGATCAGCAGAATTGTGTCAGATGTACTGTAACTACAGCCAGCAGTTTGCCCCTGCCATGGCCCACCTTCTGCCCAGGTTTGGGTTTGAACAGCGGTTTTGAGGACATCAGTGTGCTGGACCAATGCAGGGAGACCAAAGGGCGGTGCCTCGTTTCGTGGAGTGGGGCATGATATTCAGGGGTTTAGCTAGCAGCTAGGACTCACAGGCATCCACACCCCAAAAAGATGATACTTATTCAGCATCCATATCTATGTCGGTTCTCTATAAGCATGACATGAC